GGACTGATTTCTTCGTAATATTAGATGTAATAAAGACAGAAAGTTTTCCAGTTCAATGACAGTGACTGAAAAGTAAATTTTGAAAATTTCTGTGGACACTGGTCCTAAAACGAATTAGTTAGAAACATTTCTCTCCATAGCTGTAAAAATCTAAATATGTTAAATTTAATTTAACATATTTAGATTTTTACAGCTATGGATAGAAACATTTAAAATTTACAACAACCCTGTTACGTCCTTTGAGTTATACTAGAGATGTGACAAAAGAGGTATTTGACATTGACCAGTATCGGCACCCTCGGGATTTGGCAGTCCGTGTGTTTGCTTGCACTGCAACCTATTCTGATTCCATCCATTAGCTACTCATAACAAGCTATTTGACTAAGAGGATTGTTTTAAGATTTAAAAAGTAAAGAATATTTTATGTTATTTTTATATACGTTTCTTTACAAAGCTATATTTAATTATAATTTTCTTTAAAAGTATATTCATACAATTGAAGAATATTTTGCACTATGTACTGTACGTACAGTACAGTACTGTACATCCACCACACATTTTATTTCGCCAAGTAAGTTTTTATTATTTTATTTTATTTTTAATTGTAGCCCTTATATTGTGGCTAGCGATTCAGAATGTAATTGTGATATTAAAAATACATTTAGAGAAGTCTACTGTTTTTACTGGCTTATAGAACAAATGAATACGAATGGACCCTAGACCATCACTTACGCGCAATTAACTGATTGCCCTTGGAAGTTGGATTCTTACAGAAACATGGCTTCTCTATCATCAAATGTCACAGCATGCCACTGATATATATATATATATATACTGTATATACACAGGGGGAGTGTAAAAGCAGGTACTGTATACAGTTGTTATTATGGAAAAAAACAAAAACATACAGAAAGAAAATAGAAAGAAAAAACATTTATTTTTATGTACAAATTAAATCTCAAATAAGGAATACAAACTAATAAAAGATAATGAAAATAATAATAATAATGAGCACCAAACATTTGTATTTCTCAGATTCTCAACTGTATACCTACTTTTGCATCTCTCTGTATATATTTTTTTCAAGTATTATTTTAANCATTGTTCTTTCGTTTTCACCGAAGTTATTCTATTTCCGTTACGATTAAACCCTACGTTATCCTTATTTAACTCCTGTGATACATTGTTTGCTTGCCGTAGGCTTTCCTCAGGACTAGGCAACGCTAAATATTTAGGAACGGTCGCGTTGTCTAAGGACTGCTCGGCATTAGTGTCGTTTCGAAACCAGCCTTGTGCGTAAGACATCGGGTTAAAAGGCAAATATTCAAAGTCCTGATCGTCTTTGGGTCCCATCTGTCTATACTGTTCTCGATAAAAAGGCATTTGTTCCCGATATCGCGATGATAAGGGATTATTTATAACAGGAACCCGCCATTCTGGAGCGTTAGGGTTTACTCTCCACTCCCCTCGACTGGGTGGAGGAATGGTGTTTCCTCTATACCAATCGGGTAGTGGGGGCGACGCATAAATTCCACTTTCTAACCGATTTGGATTAAACTGCCGATAATTTGTCGGTCCCCATTCGTAAGTTGACCTAAAAGGGAGTGAATTATATCCCGAGTATCGTCTCGAAGGGGTCNTCTCTGTATATATTTTTTTCAAGTATTATTTTAATTGAAAAATATAAAACAAATTATTGAAAAATTATTTAAATTTTAAATATTATAAAAATAAGTAAGTTCTGTAACTTTGTGCAGATAACTTGCAGGTTTTCTGTGTTTAAAAGTTAGTTTGAAAGTTGATATGGATTACGGAAAAATTTTAAATTGCAGTTTCAAAACTCATAAAACATCTTTTCCTTTGTCTAGAGACATTAACAAGTATTTACCATCTTCAGTTTAAAGTTACTATATAAGATTTAAGTTTCAAGTTCAGTAAAAAAAAATCAGTATTCACTATACCTGTATTCTAGATTTAAATCTTAATCATGATTAAACTTACTGATATTGGAAAGTTAATTCTTGAATTACAGATTATATGTAAA